CGCTGTACCCGGTGTGGCTTCCTCTACATCGGGGAAACCAAGCGGAGGCTTGGGCACCACTTTGCAGAACACCTATGCTCGGTTCGCAATAAACAACTGCACCTCCCAGTCGCGAACCATTTCAACTCCCCCTCCCATTCCTCAGATGACATGTCCATCCTGGGCCTCAGGCAGTGCCACAACGATGCCACCTGAAGGTTGCAGGAACAGCAACTCATATTCCGCTTGGGAACCCTGCAGCCCAATGGTATCAATGTGGATTTCACAAGCTTCAAAATCTCCCCTCCCCCTACCGCATCCCAAAACCAGCCCAGCTCATCCCCGCCTCCCTAACCTGTTCATCCTCCCACCCATCCCCTCCTCCCACCTCAAGCCGCACCCCCATTTCCTACTGACTAACCTCATCCCGCCTCCTTGACCTGTCCATCCTCCCTGGACTGACCTATCTCCTCCATACCTCCCCACCTACACTCACCTTTACTGGCTCCATCCCCGCCTCTTTGACCTGTCTGTTTCCTCTCCACCTATCTTCTCCTCTATCCATCTTCTATGCGCCTCTCCCTCTCTCCCTACTTATTTCAGAACCCCCATCCCCTCCCCCATTTCTGATGAAGGGTCTAGGCCCGAAACGTCAGCCTTCCTGCTCCTATGATGCTGCTTGGCCTGCTGTGTTCATCCAGCTCTACACCTTGCTGTCTCTATATATCATCCAGGCTAAGTTCCCAGACACACCCCATGAAGCGAAGAGAAGCACCAATATCAACAAGAAAAAATAACCTCAGCTCCAAAGAAATGCAAAATTTGACAGGGCTATCAGCAGTCTTAATTCATACTTTAATGTTCATTATATGATGGTTTGTGTATATGTGCTCTTGTTGGGGGCATGCTTGACACTATAATTGTAATTGGCTGACACCATCACTGCCAAAGACATAGGAACTCCAAATAACATCAAAAGAACATTGAGATAATTTAGGAACAGCATTGAATGAGAAAAGGTAGTTTGCTTATTGAACTAGCTCCCTCCACAAACCATATTGTCATTTACCCTATTATTGATCTCACTCAACACACACAACTGCTCAGAGATACAACTGCCTTTATATGAATTTGCAAAGAGTGGTATTCTGTGATTTTTAACTGATGTATCAAGAAACCTATCTGTAATTCTGCTAGTATTTTATAGCGAGGCATTAAACTGTTTAAAGTGGTTATGATCATACACTCAGAAATTTTCAACCAAACCTGTTCCCCCACAGACAACCAAGTCATGTTAAGCGATTTGTTGGAGTGATTTTTTTAAACTATGGCTTGTGTGCAAGGGGTTGGATCAAGAATGACTCATGCATAGTGTTGGTGGGGCAGCACCTCACATCCCTCTACTTTGTTTCTTACTGCATCTATGAACATATTCTGCAAAACATCAAAATGCAGTTATGTTTGAGTTGCTTTGTTTTGGCTTTTGTGTTTCTGGTTATTCTAATAGCTGTATCCTACTTCTCTAGGTTACAAAGACATTGATTCTCTGATATCGAGATCAAATTTATATTGTGCCAGATAATGACCAGTTTATTTCCGTTACAAATATTAGACAATTACTTTATGGATTTTCCTATCTTTAAAAGATTTTGCCTTGGGTTTAGACTGTTAAAAAACTTAGACAGCAAGAGAACTAGTGAATGGCAGCTAACAGTTTAGCTAAATTAGCTAACTTCTCATGTATCAAAATAATTAATAGTTCATAATTACAATTTGAATAGTTAATATAAAAGTAATTTTCTCTCATTATATGCGACAATCTTCTAGATAGCTCTCTTTAAAGGTTCCATGGGCTCTGATACAAAACAACGATTAGGACAGTGTGAACTTGCAAGATTGTTTGTCGAGTTCATACTAATCTTCATGTCAAGTGCATATTTGAACAAATCACACAAGATGATTGTATTCAAATTGAAGTATTTACTCGTCCTTCTGGCAATGATCTGGCAGCAACCAATAAATTGTAACAAATCAATCAAGTTAAGATAATCAATGAAGTTGCTTTTGACTCCTTTACGGGCAGTTAAAGAGTAACAGAAGGTAATATCACTTAAATCTTACACAAGATTATTTCACTTTAGTTAGTATTACATGCAGTGTTGAATAAAGTTTATTCCAATAAATCATCAGCTGCAAAATTGGCTGCAAAATAATTCTGAATTGACCTCTTTCAACTCAATTCTCACATTCCTACGTTCAACCCTCTAATCCTATCTGTATCCCATCTTTTACAATCTAAGCTTCCCCCTCCACATAATTGGCAAATGCTTTGACTTCATAATCTTACGGTGTCCATAGAGTCAATCACCAAAAAAAACTTTGACTGCTTCCTTTCCTACCGTGTCCTTGTTTCATCCTGTAGTCCCAATAATTTAACTTGTCAATCAAAAATATCAGGAACCTTGCAACTGCATTGTTGAATTCCTCCACTTCTGGCTCTACACTCACAAAGACCTTTTTGTTGACATTGATCTGTTAAACCAAATAGGCAGCTGTATTTTTGGTGCATTTAACTATCATTGTTTGCCCTTTCCACCATTCTCCCTGGTACAGTTCCCATCTTTGCTTCCTCAAATCTAAGAATAATAAATTCAGATTATGTTCTGTACTAACATGATGGGGGAGAAAGAGAATTAATCGTAGGAGATGTTCTGGCCACATATAGATAGATGGGGATGAAATTAACATCATGGATTATGTAAAAAGTTACATTACACAGAATGGTTTAATTTGTCAAGTGTTGCAAGTAGGTCTAGAAAAGATAAAGCACTATGCACACTGTCACATCAATTATTCTTTGCGACTGAGTATAAGGCTACTTGGAAGATGGAACCTAGACCGAGGAATTCAAAAAAGGAATTATTAAAGAAATGGCTAATAGCTGAGTTATAACAACATGCTGAAGGACTTCAGAGAAGAAAAGGAAGTTAGAGATAATGCAATGATTGATTAATTATCTGAACACACAAGCTCGGCCTTAGTGACAAAGAAGTCCATAAGCTTAATTGTAAGACTTGGAGGGAACATAGAAATAAAAGTGGTTGGAAGGGGTGAGGGTGTGAGTGGTGAGAGAAATGAGATGGCCTTGTCTATGATCAAAAAGATAGAAGTAAAGAGGCCATATAAGTGTGTGGTTATGAATTTAGACTGGAAATTTTAAAGATTGACAGTAAAAAATATGTTGAGATGATGGTTGAAATCATTAAGGATCGGGGTCAAATGGAGCAGAAGTTGATGGAAGAAAGTGTAGGAAAAAAAGCACACAGTGAGAAATACTGATAAATGAAAACAATGTTTCTCTGGCTGTTTAGGCAGAATAGGCAACAATAGGCATACCCAGTTTAGAAGACTTTAGTAAGATTCATGTAACTCCCATGTGTTAAGCTAAAGTTTTGCTAAAGTCTTGGTGTCATTGTAATCATTCACAATAAAGTTCTTCTTGTTTGTCAATGGACATTCTGGAGGGAAAAAAAGAGGTCAGAGGAGGGTGGGTTAGTAGGATGAGAAAGAAGTTGGCATGATTAAATTCCAACAGGTAGCAAGAGAAGAAATAGAATGTACCAACGCTTCTAATGAGGAACAATGATGGTCTCTTTGGAGAAAGGCAGTAGTATGGCAGAGATCAACAGAGAACTTAACCAATGGCGATTCAAGCATTAAACAAATGAAAAAGGCAGAGAAACAGTCAAGGATTGATGGTGGGAGATTTGGGGATGGGTAAAGATAGATGGGAAGTTTCAACATGAAAATGGCATGACATAGTAATAAGGAGGGAATGAGGAAAGATCAAAGGTTGATGACAACTAACATAAGTTAGAATTGATGGACTCTGCACCTGGAATGCACTCACAAATGAACATAGAAGAAAGACAAGTTCCGTAGACATAGCAAGCATTAGAATAGTAATGTCCTGGTCTTAAATGGAGGAGTAGAAACAGATGCAGAGATCTTAGAAGGTTGTAGAAATTGGGGAGGTTACAAAGATAGGGAGATACTGAGTATGTGCTGATGGTAAAAATAGAATAGAACAAAGACAGTGAAACATATTGGAGGACCATCCACAGATCCAAGGGTGTGGCAGAAAAACAGTCCATGTGTAGATTACAGGAAGCAGGTTCCCATGACAGCTGCATACTGAGGTGTATTCCCATCCCAAGCATCAAATCATAATGTTAGCTATCACCAGAGGTACGGGTACAAACATCTGACAAAACCAACACATGTAGTCATCGAAAAAAATAACAGATGTAGTTAAAGTCATGTTATTATCAATGCATTTTCTTGCACCAAGTGGCCTATTGTCCTCAAACATCTAAAATATAAAATTCTTACACTCACCTTTAAATTTTAAACTTTACATGGCATTATTCTACCTGCCATCATGTTAACTTTCAGTCTTCTATCATATCTGAATTTTCCCTTTGCTACTGGCATTCTGCGTTTCCCATCCTTCCTTCATGCTGCCATTTGCCTTCAGTTTGGATGCCTGGAATTCCATCCCTTGGCCTCACTAACTCTCTCCTTCCTTTTTGAAAAGCCATCTCAAAATTGATGTATTAAAACAAGATTTTAGACACTACTTTTCATCTCTACAAACTTTGTGTATTTGTTTTTCAAATATCTGTCTGCAAAGAATCTTATGATGTAACTTTGAGCTTGCATAATAAATTTCAGGTATTTGTATGATTGTGCAGTCCTCATTGTTGAATGATGAAACCTCCATAAACAAGGCATTGTGGTTGGGCAGCTTTGTTTCTTGCTCAAGCATTAGTTCCTGTTGACTGTGACTACGGATTATTTGTATTGGGCAATACCAGGTTCCTAAGAGTTTGTGCATTCCATGAGTTTGTTGGGATAAATTATTGGTTGGATTGATTAGCTATACCATGCATCTGAATTTCCATGATACACTGTCCATAGAGAGGCTTCCTTCATCAACTGAAGTAGAAAAGTTACCTCTCTTGGTTTTTGTTTGTCCCCTAATCAGTTGTTTTCTTTAACACTGAGTCTGCTGGTTCTAATTTTCAAGTTGAATGTTAATGATTTACAGCACTCCATGGCCACTCTGAATCTAATCAGCACCAGATCTGAGTCTCCGAACAGTGTACTCAATACAAAGCGACCATACTGCTGATGAGATACAGATCATTTCTTAATATTTACCAGTGTGAGGTCATACACATTCAATCCTTGAAGTTCTTCCATTCAAAGCTGAAATGCCATCTTCATGTCAATGTCAGCCATGCTGCCAACCAAGATAAAAAGCAATATTTCAGTGACACAACTGAACAGGTATCATTGGTATTCTAAAATAGATTGCAGAAACAAAATATAACATATTTTTATAAAATATGCTATCTGCATTACTACACTTTATAGTAAGTGAAAGCAGAAATTGCTAACTGGTTTGAGGCAAGCATCATTTTGAAGAAATAAAACAAAGAATTGCAGAAGCTGGAGATCTGAAATTGCTTGTGAAACTCAGCTGTGGGAAGAAAGCTCTTCATCTGCTGTGTGGCTGCTAGATCTGCTGAGTTTCTCCAGCAATTTCTGTCATTGTGAAGAAACCTAATAATGAAGCGAAGCAGTCTGTTTTCATTGATTACAAGAGAGACCCAGGTTCGATTCCATCCTTCAGTGACTCTCTGTGTGGAGTTTGCACATTCTCTCCATATCTGCATGAGTTTCAGCCAGGCACTCTGGTTTCCTCCCACAGTCCAAAGATGTGCAGCACTAAATGGGCAGCACGATGGCTCAGTGGTTAGCATTACTGTCTCACAGCACCAGAGACCTGGGTTTGATTCCAACCTCAGACGACTGTCTGTATGGAGTTTGCACATTCTCCCCGTGTCTTCCTGGGCTTCCTCCAGGTGCTCTAGTTTCCTCCCACAGTCCAAAGATGTGTAAGCTAAGTGGATTGGCCATGCTAAATTGCCCATAGTGTCCAGGGATGTGTAAGTTAGGTGCATTAGCAATGGGAAATGCAGGGTTATAAGTATAGGCAAAGGGGATGGGTCTGGGTGGGATTCTCTTCAGAGGATCGGTGTGGTTGTGTTAGGCCAAATGGCCTGTTTCCACACTGTAGCGATTCTATGTGCAGGTTAGGTGGATTTGCCATGCTAAATTACTTCATAGAGTCCAGGGATGTGCAGGCTAGGTAGATTATCCATGGTAAATATGGATTATGGGGACAGGGTGGGGGGCTGTGTCAGGAGGAACTTTTTCAGACAGAGAGTGATGAATCGGTGGAACTCATTGCTGCAGCAGGCTGTGGAAGCCAAGTCATTGAGTGATTGGAAGACAGAGATAGATAAGTTCTTGACTGGTAAGAGGATCAAAGAGAAGGCAGGAGAATGGGATTGAGAAACATATCAGCCATGATTGAATGGCGGAGCAGTCTTGATGGGCCGAATGGCTCAATTGTGCTCCTACATCTTATGGTGTTATGGTCCATCAAATATATAATTAGCTTTCTTTTGAAACCTGGAATCCAACTCCAACACTCTCCCAGTCAGTGCATTTCAAATCATAACAAATAAAGTCTCTTATTATCTCACTCCTTTGCTGACAATCTTAAAATTGTGACCCCTCGTTACTGACATACTGACAGTAATTTTATAATTTTGAATAACTCAATAAGGTCACCTCTTAATCTTAATGGTATCATTCTAATAAATTTCCTTCGCACTTCCTCCAGGGTTTTAACATCCTTCCTTAAATGAGGTGCCCAGAACTGAACACAATACTCCAAATGTTGCCTGACTAAAGATTTGTAGAGGTGAAGCATCACTTCCTTGCTTTTATATTTGATGTCTCTATTTATAAAATGAGGATCCCATGAACCTTCTTAACAACTGTTTCAACTTCCCTGGCCACCTTCAGGGAATTATGTACGTGGACCCGAGATCCCTCTAATCCTCTCCTCGAAGTTGTACCATTGAGCATGCATTGTCTCTCCATGTTTCTTTTACCAAAATTCATTATGCCATTTTCTCTGCATTGAAATTCATCTGCCAGGTGTCTGCTCATTTGGCCAACCTGTCAATGTCCCTCTGAAGTTGCTCAGCATCATCCTCATAATTCACTATTCTCCCTAGCTTAGGATCATCTTTAAATTTAGGCATTTTGTCCGCAACACCCATCTCCAAATCATTTATATAAATCAGAAAGAGCAAGGGTCCCTGGGGAACACCACTTACAATTCATCTCCAATCTGAAAACTGCCTATCTATATCTACACACGGTTTCCTACTTTTAGCCAACTTTTAATACATGCTGCCAAGTACCCATCAATCCCAAACATTTCCAATTTGCTAACCAACCTGCCATGTAACACCATATCAAATTCATCGGAAAGTCCAAATATACAACATCCATAGCACTACCCTCATCCACTGTTTGTGTCACCTTGTGATAGAACTCAATCAAATGTGTCAGGCGTGACCTGCCCTTGACAAAGCCATTTTCACGCTGTTGACATCAAGCTGACAGGTCTGTATTTTCCTGGGTTATCCTTTGTCCTGTTCTTAAGCAATTGTGTCCCATTTGCAGTTCTCCTTTATGGGGAGATATGGCATTGTGGTATTATCATTAGACAATTAATCCAGAAACCCAGCTAAGGTTCTGGGGATCTGGGTTCAAATCCTGCCAAGGCAAATGATGAAATTTGAATTTGATAAAGGATCTTGAATTAAGATTCTAATGATGACCATGATTGATTGTTGGGAAAAAAAACCCAACAGGTTCAATAATGTCCTTTAGGGAAGAAAACTGTCATTCTTACCTGGTCTAGGATACATGTGACTCCAGACCCACAGCAATGTGGTTGACTCTTAAACAGCCCTCTGGGAAATAAATGCTGGTCTGGCCAGCAATACCCTCATCCCATAAATGAATTTTTAAAAAAAAGTTCCCTAGGACACTTCTGTGTTCAAAGAGGCTTGGAATTATTTTATGATGGTGGTATAGAGAATATTCTAAAGAGTGTAAGCATTCAACTACAGTACTGTTTGACCCCACTACAGATCTGAAAAGGTTCCAATGTTGCCTGTCATAGCTGATTTCATTCATTGTATTGTCACAGAAAGAGACGATCATATTAACAATTTTCTTCATCTACTAAACTGGACCACTTCTGCTCATTGGTTGAATCATTTAGTGAGAACAATGAATGCAACACATAGGGATCTCCCTTTTTCACAGCAGTTCTGAACAGCTGTTGCACTGGAAGATCATGTCAATTGTAGATCTATCAGTTTTGAAATCATGCTGCAATTCAGAGGTGTTTAGCCAGGACCTGCAGTCTGGCAATGGCTCCGTGGGCAATTACTTTTCCCTTAATGCTCAACAAGGAGATGCCTTGATAATTATTGCAATAATTTTGGTTGTTGTTGTTCTTATATAAGGACACAATCTTTACAACATGCCTATTTCAGCAGTGCCCCCTTCTTCCAACAAACACAATAAGTTTATACAGGTGGCTTATACAGTTGTGTATGGTTTATACAGTAGCTTCCCATGCTTTTCAAACAGCATGACTTTAGCACTTTGTGCTTTGACCAAGATATGCAAGGCAATAATTTGCTAAACCCCTCCACCATGGGTTTGATATTCAACTCTGCCATGGCAGATAGATTTTCTAAGGTGTCTACATCCACCAAGGTGACAGTATGCTTCCTAGAGCAACTCAATATTCACCTATCTCTCTAAATGAAGTGCTTTGTCTTAACCTTGGAGTCATAGAGATGAACAGCATGGAAACAGACCCTTCAGTCCAACTTGGACATTTGGCCTCAGAAATTCGGGTAAACATCCTCTACTTCGGGATACACAATAACGCAAAGTTGCAGAGCAGAGGCTGATAGTCAAGTTCAGTACGGCCTCAACCGGGATCGTGGGTTCATGTCGCACTACAGGTGACCCCACCAGTCTATACACTCGCTCACACACACACACCTAACAACACTGGTAAAACCTTTAGTTCTCTCAGGACTGGATTTCGGGGATTTACATATACATATTAATCAATTAAAATCTTCTAACTGATTTAAGATTTAACAGCATCTTAGGTTTGTTTAGTACATCTTCATCAATGGTGTGAACCTTTGATCTTTTACTTATAAATTCTGTGTCTGATACTACCTCTCTCACTAATGCCTGAAGAAGGACTGAGGCTCCAAAAGCTTGTGTTTTCAAATAAAGCTGTTGGACTGTAACCTGGTGTCATGTGATTTCTGACTTTCTTCAATCTGTGATACATGTGATGGAATAGGTGAAGGTTAATCATAAGCTTATTGTTCAGACGCACTTCCTCAGATCGCTAGTTACGCTATGAAGTCAAGCATTATTACTGTAATCAGATATTGTGGGATTTGTTTAGATGAATTTATATACCTTAAACCAGAGCTTTTCATGGAATGATGGACTAACTTAATAGTAAACTAGACCAGCGCCTCAGTAAAAGAAACTCAGGCTATATCCTTCTAGCACACCATCCTTCTACTTCCCTATTCCTGGGATAAATTTTCAGGCTGCATCCCAAATTGGGAAGAGGAGAATCATAAAAATACCAGCGCTAGCTAGTTAACCAGGCTGCTGGAAGTATAGGATAGGGCATCTAATTTCCTCCCAATTGAGGCAGATTAAAAAATTATTCACAGAGAGCTGATTTGAGGGACCAGGGGCCTGCAGGCTTCAGGAGGTATCTGGTGAAGATTTGCTGAAAGAGGATAGGCTCAGAGGAAAGAGCCGGTCATAGCCTCCCTTAAGTATATCCCAACCTCATAAAAGGCAAAGGTTGTCTCAATATTTGGTAAGAAGATACACTTGGCACCGAGTGCTAAGACTTTGGTTGAGGTTGATATGTCTCCAACATCATGGGGCAGAAAAGCAGAAGGTAAACCTGCTAACTGCAACTGGGCAGCGACCCTGTTCTTTGTGAAGACTGCAGTAAGCTATGAGGGCATGGCTGTCAGATTTCAGGTCAAGTTATGATAAGGACAACATCCTCTGCAAGAAGTGCAGAACCCCGAACAGCAGAAGAGCATGGGAGAGCAAGGAGAGTCAGGAAGGGAATCAAGGGCATACCCTTAGAATAGAATAGAATATCCGTTATGGTCACGTGCGCTCAAGTGCAGAAGTCAGGAGTAAAGTGAAAAGTTTTACAATATCACCTATTATGGTGGCATCTTAGGTACAAGTACCTAGGAACAAATCTTAGATACAAAAGAGGAATAAAGAAGAAAAGTAGTTGCATTGCTTTACAGTGTTTAAAGAATAAGTTAGAAATAAGACATAGTTAAAGGATTGATATTAATGTCCAATAAAAAAAATTTCAAATAAACATTACATTGCAGTAACTGAGCGCAGGGGCTTCCACACGTGGTCTGAGCCCCCGCAGCAGGCCCCCAGTTCAACAAACATTCATGCTCTGCCCCCAGCTTCCAGTCCGCTCCGCACCGGCTCTCAGCTGCTGAAAGGTAGGTTTTCTCCAGGACTGCTTCCCCTTGAGGGCATTCGCCCGGGACTGCTTCCCCATGTGGGTTACTGCTCCAGGACTGCTTCCCCGTGCTGGTTACTGCTCCAGGACTGCTTCCCCGTGCTGGTTACTGCTCCAGGACTGCTTCCCTGTGCTGGTTACTGCTCCAGGATTGCTTCCCTGTGCTGGTTACTGCTCCAAGACTGCTTCCCTGTGCTGTTTACTGCTCCAGGATTGCTTCCCTAAGCTGGTTACTGCTCCAAGACTGCTTCCCTGTGCTGGTTACTGCTCCAGGATTGCTTCCCTAAACTGGTTACTGCTCCAGGATTGCTTCCCTAAGCTGGTTACTGCTCCAGGATTTACCTCTGGGGCTCACCAGCTCCTCCACTTGAGGGGAAGAAAAGAAGAGAGAAAAACAGAAAAAGAAAAACTTAAGGCAGAGCAGTGGTGCTCTGGCTGGAGCGTCTTACTCTGCCACCATCTTACCAAAAAATCCCTTGTTCTGATACCTACAGCCAAAGATGGGGTTCCTTAAGATAACCAACATCCAGTGACACAGGAGACTATGATTCTCCAGTTAGATGTTCACAGACACTAAAATCACAAAAGTCAGTTCAAAGATGTGTTGTCTTGCCATGTGCAGGCATGAATGATGGTGGACAATTAAACAACGAACTAGAGGAGAAGGCTTCACAAATATCCCAATCCCCAATGATATAATAGTGTAGGACGTCAATGCAAAAGATAAGGCTAAAGCTTCTGCAACCATCATCAACCAAAAATAATAGGTGAATGATCCATCTTGGTCTCGTTCCTGAAGTCCCCAACAACACAGGTATCAGTTTTCAATTAATTTGTTACAATTAATGTCATGTAAATAAATGGCTGAAGGCACTGGATACAGCCAAAGTTATGGGCTCTGACAACATTCTGGCTGTACCACTGAATACATTTGCTTCATGACTGGCTGCTGTAACAGCCAAGATGTTCCAGTACAGTTAGCAATTACTGTCTTATGGGAAATTGCGCAGATATATTCTGTCCACAAAAAGCAGGACAAATCGATGCCAAACAATTAACAGTCCATCAGTCTGCTCTCAATAATCAGCGAGGATATTTTCAGTCATACCCTATCAAGCAACACTTGATACCCTGAAGACCAGGGTTTTGCTCATTTTGGGTTCTGCTGGGCCAATCAGCTCCTGATCTAAATACAGCCTTGATCAAAACATCACACAAGAGCTAAATTCAAGAGAAATGGTGAAAGTGATTACCCTTATCAAGGCAGCAGTTGACTAAGTGGGGCATCAAGGATTCAGCAGAGACCAATCATCTCAGCCCTGGGAGTTTGCTGCAGAATTCCTCATGTTAGTGGCTTAAGGTCCAACCATCTTCAGTAGACATTAGTGCATCTCGCACGCTGCCCTGCACTGCATCACCTATTGCCTTTCTTCCAGACCTGGAAAGTGCAACTATTTAATGACAGGCGTGGCCTCACAGGGATAGGGGCCACTAAATTTCACCACCATTAGCGCATTCCCCTCGGTGTAGGGCATCAACAACAGCATCCATGTGGCCATGAACACATGCATCAACTATTTAGTTAGACTGATCAACAGACAGGGCTCCATTCACTCAGCATTCCACTAATCTGCAACAGTGAGTTCCTTCCATGGTGTGCTGAAATTCTATAATTGCTATGAATCCTTCATCTGGCATTGTTTTAGGCCTGCCCAGATCTTCACTCTAACCCCAAAGTATAAGCCTGGATCGCAAAAGAGACAATCACTGATTCTCTGTCAGAGGCTTAGTCTGAGGCAGAGAGGTAATATGCACAGTGCTACCTTCATCAGTGGTCTTGTGGTGAGTGAATGGCCCCTGCTTCTTTTTGGCAACAGGCCATCAACCTGAAACATCAATTGTTTCTCTCTCCACAGAAAATGTCTGACCTGCTGAGTATATTGAGCATGAGATAGTAGGAACTGCCGATGCTGGAGAATCTGAGACAAGGTGTAGAGCTGGATGAACACAACAGGCCAAGCAGCATCAGAGGAGCAGGAAAGCTGACGTTTTGGGTCTAGACCCTTCTTCAGAAATATATTGAGCATTTTGTGTTTTTATTTCAGATTTCCAGCATCTACAGTAATTTGCTTTTGCTAAAACTGATGTTCTCATCAAGACAGCAGAACACGCATTTCACTGTGCCATCTTTTCTGTGTTCTAATCCCCTTTAGCCCAGTGTCAGATTGCTGGGTGTTATCCTGGGTTGAAAAATAACATTTGTATTTCAAAGTTTCCCTTAACGTTTTTTTTTAGCTTGTTTGTTTTCTAATTCTGTAATGAGTCACTCCTGGGTGGCAGCTACAAAGGAATAAGTAACAATTTAACAGTGAGTTGGAGCCTGATGAAACTCAGACTGAAAACTGGTTTGACAAGTTTGTGGCTGATGATCCATACCAAACAGCAGAGAGCGAGTGTGACAATAACACTAACAGCATTTAAACAGAAAGAACTTCTTGGACCAAATTCTACGGTCAATGATTTATTTTTCGACTGCTGTTAGGCAGACAATATGTAGGCCTGGATCTTTGCTTTCCGAAGCTGTGACCACGAGTTGGGAAGTCTCCCAGCTCGCCACAGCCTCCTCAAGAGAAACTCGCCTGTAAGACGCGATCTTCATTCCAGCACTGGGTGGGGGATTAGTTAGGCCTGCCACCCAGGCTACAAATCGGGGAAAGGCCAGGGGTGCGAGACTAGCTCAATGCAAATAAACTGACACCCGAATGGCCTCTTCTGTGTTGTACAGAGACAGCGAAAGGAGGGTGGGGGGAGTACTAGAAAAGGGAAGATCTGTTCTAGGGTGGAAGGCAGGAGTGAATCAGTGAAATGTTGGTGCATGAAAAAGCAGACAGTAATGAAACAAAAGAGAGAAAAATGTCCGCAGGAGGTGTAAATGGGCATGACTGAATGGGAGAAATAAATCCTGTGATTGATTCGCCCTCCTGCTGTGCAGTCACCAGACTGGTTGATCAAGGCCTGAGGGAAGTGTGAAAATTGTTGATAGTTTGAGAACTTGTTCCAACTCAGCACACACATGCAGCTGTAAAATAAAAAAAAATGCAAAGCTGCAGATGCTGGAGATACACAGATGAAAAGTGCTGGAGAAATTCTGCAAGTTGTGTTGGACTCAAAATGTTAACACATGTGCTGCCTGACCTGCTGAGTTTCAACACCACTTTCTGTTTGTATTTCCGATGTAAGCACTTTGCTGTAACATTTCAGGTGTGAATCTTATCATTCTTTCAAAGAGCTATATTCAATGTTAATCATTTTTGCACTGTTCAGAGGTGTGGAATTGTGGAATAGCGTCAGTTTAATCTGAAGATTGCAAAACGTAAGAAGAAATTTCCATGGTGAGCACAACTCGAGTCTGAGCCAAAACAGAAATTGCTGGAGAAACTCAGCAGATCTACCAGCATCTGTGGAGAGAAAGCATAGTTAATGTATCGAGTCCAGTGATCCTTCTTCAGAACTGTAGTCACTGGACTCAAAATATTAACTCTGCTTTCACTCCACAGATGCTGCCAGATTCCCTCACAGGAATGTTGGATCAACCATAATTCTATTGAATGGCAGAGCAGGCTCAAGCGGTCGAATGGCCTACTCCAGTTCTTATTTCTTAAGATCTTATGGTCTAAGGAAAACATAAAGGGCATGGACAAATGCTCTAATTCCACCTGATTCACAAGAGTGCCAGAGAAAAATTATTCATTTAAACTTCACTTGGTATCTTTTGGCCACTTCATGTGATTTAGCTCTGATTTAGCTTTCAGACTTGATCCCCTGCAGACCTCTTGGATCCAGTAATTAAAATGCCAATGTGGCACTGATGATGACATGAGACCAAACCTTCTATTGTTAGGGTGGGCAGCTATGGTGAAAGGTATTGGGAATTCTCCTCAAATAGTTTCACTTTACTAATACCTTTCCCACTTGGGCAGGAGATATAAAATCTACAACAACAGCATTCTAATGTGGCGTTTGGTTCTCATCAGAGATCCAGCAGTTCTTTGACTAAAATGAAAGCAAAATACTGCAGATGCTGAAAATCTGAATAACAACTGAAAATGCTGGATATACTCAGGAGATGAGGCAGCTCTATTGAAGAGAGAAACAGAGTTAGCATTTCATGTCAATAACCCTTCATCAGAACTGGACAGAGTACAGATGTAATGGGTTTAAAGCAAGCACAGTTGCAGCAAAGAAGTGAAGCCAAGTAAAAAATAAAAGGGAAGGTCTTTGATTGGAAGGAAGACAAGTAAAATGAAATAAGATTTATTGTTATTATACTGAAAATTATTCATGTATCTATTTCAAAGTCAGTACTAAGGGATATTTGAACATTTACCAACATTTAGATTATTAGAACAAGAACAGAACTGGTTCCTGAAACATGAGTACTACAGTTCATGGCTGCACCAAAGTAAATATTTTGAAGTATTAAATATTGGGAAAACTAAATCTATTGTTTTCCATCCCTGCAGCAAATTCTGTTCTTTAGGCCTTCAGTTGCCCAGGACCAAACTCTAGAATTTCCTTTCTACACCTATCCACTCTGCATTCCTCCTTTAACGTACTTCTTAAAACCCACCTCTTCTACAAAGTTATTTATTATCTAACCTAGCATGTATTTTGTGTATTTTAACATCATACCATGTTTTATATTGTTTATGTGGAATGCCTTAGTATAATTCATTATGTTAAAGGTACCAAGTAAATATGTCATTGACTGACCATGACAACAGCTGGGAAAGTTACATTTAACTTGAGACCTTTAGGTGGGCAATTATGCTCAATTAATGTCCCTGCCTATCAGCTTTCCATTATCACCGGCATTAACCCGCAAGTTTCACAGGTGGGGGTAGTGGGTGAGGGATATTTAAGGGATTGGCAGAGGATATTTCATATAGGTCTGTCAGGAGGCATATTCCTCTTCAAAGACTCTCAGCGCCTGATTGAGGGACCTGGCTTTAGGAGGTAAGGGCTGACAATGAACGAGC